TTATCAACAGCGATTCTCTTATTTGAGCAAGATTCACAGAATAGTTTGAATTGAGCCATCACATTCGTCACTTTTCTCCCAATCCTCAGGCTTAACCTTTCTCTCAACCTATCCCTTCTGTTAACATGAAATTCAGTTAGGGAATTCCCATCTTTTCACAATCCCCTTTTCCAAATGAAATCCCGTCTTACTCTGAACAAAATAACCACATTTGCCATCTATTGCCTTTCCCTGCTATTAAAGGTAGCTTTTATCACTTTTTATCCAGCATCTTTATGCTATTCTGGCGTCTTATTCTCAAATCTCCTGGCCTCATCAACTGTTAAAACAGGCTGTAATGACTCATTCTATGTCTTTTTAAAAACAATTTTGCAGACTATTTACTCTAAGGTGAAACTATTTCTCAATGCATCTTTATTTGCCCCTCTAGACTGTCCCTTGAACTCCAGACTTACTTTATAAACACAATAAACTGAAGGTATGAAGACCAAGATGGTGTGGCCTTTTGTGTGGTGAGTCTCTTTTCGTTGTATAAAGGTTGTTTGACCTTGTTTTCGCAATATAGTCATATTGGTAGGAAGACCTAGAGGAACGGACCTTGTCCGGATTCCATTGTAGGCATGACAATGTCCAAAGTCGGACCGTGGATGTGGTACATTCCCAGACGTTTCGCTGGCATCGTCAGTGAGTCTTGCAATTCTTAGCACCATACTACAATTCGTCAGAGGCAAGTGTAGCCTATCCTTTGACCAAACGTGTGCTAAACAATTGTGGTATCTCTCCTTCTGCCCTAAGCTATTAAGATTTCCCATATCCTCCTATCACGACTTCACCATCACAATTTTTTACTTGTTTAATTAAATCTGGTACGGTGCCCTTTTGAGCGGCTTTCGTGAAAACCATTCACACTCCACGCTGTCGTTTTCACCCCCTTCACCTTTGTATTGGGAATGTTGATCATAGTCTGCCATATTGTTACGCAGTCCTCATTCTCTAGTTCTTATCACAGGCTCTCTTTCCCCGTAAGATCCGTCTATTCTTTTACTGATTCACATATTTCATTCGACCCCTGCCACCCCATCTGTGCTGCTCGAGGCGTTATTCGCCCTCTCCCTGCGTCTGGGTGATTAATTCGAGGCTAAAGCCTTAGAGTAAGTGTCATGGTCACACCTTTTATACATGGACCACGTCTATGGCTAAAACAAACCTACTATCAGCCAACTAGCTCCAGTCTCCACCGCGTCTATCCTGTTTCTATCGGTAATACTAAGTCTATGACTTCCCATGCCCTAGTCTCTTGTGTGCCAACCCACAAATGTTGTTGTACTGCTTGCTTTGGTTAGGTTCAATATTGTACTACAACGTTTGTGGGTTGACACACAAGAGACTAAGGCATGGGAAGTCATAGACTTGGTATTTAAGAATAAAACAGGATAGACGCGGCGGCGATTGGAGCTAGTTGGCTGACGGTAGGTCTGTTTTTACCATAGATGTGGTCCATGTGGTAAAGGCTTGACCGTGAGACTTACTCAGAGGCTTGTGCTTCGAATTAGTCACCCAGACGCAGGGGAGGTCGAATAACGCCTCGAGTGGCAAAGATAGAGTGGCGGGGGTCGAGAGATATATGTGAACCGGGGAGAGGGTGTAGACGAATCTACGGGGCAGGAGAGAGAATGTGATAAGACCTATGGAAAGAGAACTGCGTAACAATATGGCAGAATCTGATCGACATTCCCAGCACAATGGTAAAGGGAGGTGAAAGAGTGAGAAAGCCAGCATGGGGTAAAGAGTTCTCATAAAAGCAGCTCAAAAGGGCACATTATACCACATTTAAATAAGCAAGTAAAAAATGTTGATAGTGAAGGCGTGCTATGAGGATATAGGATTGGTAATTAGTCCAGGGCGGAAGAAGAGATACCAAGATTGTTTAGCAGACAATTGGTCAAAGGATTTGCCTCACTTGTCTCTTTAACGAGTTGTTGTACCAACTCTGGAAATGATCATGCATACTATGAACTCCTGACTAGATGCGTTCTTCTAAGTCTTCCTACCAATATGACCAAGTTGCGAAAACAAGGTCAAGCAACTTCTAAACAACGAAAGGAGTCTGCGAACATAAAAAATGCCACACTATCTTGGTTTTAATACCTTCGATTAACTCATGTATGTATCGAACATGTCAGAATAAACAAGTGTGTGAATCTCAGGGGAGATATATCCGAAGTTAGAATGGGAGAATTATATGGAACTAAGGAAGTACCAAATTGTTAAACGGGAGTTTGATCAGTTTAGTTTGCTAAGTTACAGTTTGGAGTTTAGAACAACTAACATTATCAGTTATTAGCATATAGACAGCAAAAAGATAAGCACTACTAGTTCTAACTCAAAATTGTTAGTTATATCGACATAAATGGCAAAAACATGTGCCTTATGAAGATATATATACATTAGATGTGGTTTAAAGGTGCTCTGCTACGCCTGTTTCATAACCAATTAGTGCGAGAGGTGATCCTTAGGTGATAAATTGTTTATCTCCGAATTTCTGTCCTGGATTCGATTCAGAATTAGGCTAATGAAAACTAGAAGAATTTCGAAACTCGAAAAGGGCCAAATAATAGCTAATTGTAAGCCTACTATTCCTCAAGTCATGGGCAGAAAAAACATGAATTTTTTGGCAACATTGCAAACCTCACCCAGACCTTGATGGTTTCGGTCTTAAAATAAAATTATCTTTATTAACGGTGAATATTGTATTAAACAATATCATCATATCATGGGCCTAATATAAGAGCATGAAAGGTATATTCCAGTGAAAGATATCTCGTTAATTTCGTATTCAAAATTGAATTTTCAATGAGCATGTAAATAATAATTTTAAACTGATATAGGAATATAAAACAAACACATTCAAATGAATAAAAGCAAAAACCTAATTAGCTAATTAGCCTTTTTAATAGGTATCAAAATGAGTATCAAATAAAAGGCATCTTAAATCTGAATCTGGTAGGAGTGCACATCACAAAGATATAACTTTGGATGCTGAATAGCCTATAAAAAGTGTCATATCTAAAGGAAATGGTCACTCTAGGCCCCATGAAGTGAATTAAGAAAAGACAATTAAGTTACTCTCATAACGATATGAGTATGCATTGCATTTGAACAAGCCTTTTCTTCCTTAAGTATATCGCATCCATAATGTACTGCAGTTTCCACCTCGCCTGGGCCTAATCGGCACCTTCAACGGAATTCCTCATTGGGTCATGAACACTGTGGCGAGGTTACAACCTCGTGCCTCAATGAGTTACGGGGTCAGAGGTGATAATTAGGGAAAACCAGGACTAGCTAAAATCTTAGTTATAGTGAGATTTCAGATATAAGAACGAGGATAGCGTAGCAGTTTAGTGTACAGAATAAGTTCGAGTTTCGATTAACCCAATAATGGAAGAACTATAAATTAAGTTATGAAGACCAAGATGGTGTGGCCTTTTGTGTGGTCACAGTCTCCTTTCGTTGTATAGAGGTTGTTTGACCTTGTTTTCGCAACATAGTCATATTGGTAGGAAGACTAATTGGAAGGCACCTAGTTCGGGGTCCATTGTCTGCATGATCATTTCCAAAGTTGAACCGTGGACATGGAACATTCCCACGAGTAGCTGTATGGTGCTTAGGATGGCGATACTCACTAACGATGCCAACGATGCCGGCGAAACGTTTGGGAATGTTCCACGTCCACGGTTCAACTTTGGAAATGATCATGCAGACAATGGGCCCCGGACTAGGTGCGTTCCAATTAGTCTTCCTACTAATATGACCATGTTGCAAAAACAAGGTCAAACAACCTCTATAAATTAAGTGTCTTAGAAAAAACTAGGAGTGATGCTGCAGTAACATTGTGCTTATTTCTAACGCATTATTCGTAATAACACATTACCTAATGAATAGAAGGTGAGCATCTATTAAATCTCTGAGGATAAATAATAAGCAAGAATGGGTAAGGGATAAAATCTAAGCAGAAATCCTGTTTCGATTCATACTTACCTTACTATCTCTAGCAAATGCACTGTCTACAGGTAAGCCGGAGCAAAGTGGCTGACAAATATTGGCAACTTCAACATCAGCATTACGCATAGACAAAGTTGGAGAGGCTGTGAAAGAGCAAAAATATGGTTCAGGCGCTATGGGAATATTCGAGCCATTTAAAGAATATTTCGGATCGAAAAGATGACCAGGATCATCAATGTGGGAAGAGGCTCGCCCGTTCTGAATGCTTGAAAGAATCTTAGTCAAGGGAGGCGGCTGAGGGAGAGAAATCCCAATTCGCCTCATGCCAGAAATTTGGGAGGGCGAAATCCGGCTGGCATCCAAAAGTAGATCACAATGTGCTGACTTCTTGGGTAAATTAATATCTGAAC